GGAGCCGCCCCGTCCCCCCGCGCTGCTGCTCTGGGGCTCCCGCGACGCTTTCCTGGACCCGCGCCTGGGCCCCGCCCACCTGCGCTGGCTCCGCCCCTCCGCGCGCCTCCGCCTCCTGCCCGCCGCCTCCCATTGGCTGCCCGACGAGCGGCCCCGCCCCCTGGCCCAGCTGATTGGAGAGTTCCTGGGGGGCGGGGCCGGGGAGGCGAAGTAGCCACGCCCAGCGCGGGGAGGGAGGCGGGGTTTGGGGGTTCCAACAGCTGGAATGGGGACGGGGGGTGGGACCCCAACATCTGGGCAGAGACATCCACATCTGGGCGGGACCCCCAAGGCCAGGGTGGGCGCCCCAACATCTGGGTGGGGACCCCAACATCTGGGATAGGGACCTGGAAATCTGGCAGGGGAGTGACCCCCAACATCTGGGTGGGGACTCCAACACCTGGGCAGAGACATCAACATCTGGGTGGGACCCCCCCAAGGTAGGGGACCCCCAACATCTGCAACGGGGATCTGGAAATCTGGGGAGTGACCCCAACATCTGGGTGGGGACTCCAACATCTGGGCAGAGACGTCAACATCTGGGTGGGACCCCCAAGGCCAGGGTGGGCACCCCAACATCTGGATGGGGATCCTGTCGTAAGAGTGGGGACCTCAACATCTGGGTGGGGACTCCAACACCTGGGCAGAGACATCAACATCTGGGTGGGACCCCCAAGGTAGGGGACCCCCAACATCTGGAATGGGGACCTGGAAATGTGGGGAGTGACCCGCAACATCTGGATAGGGACACCAAGGCCAAGGTGGGCACCCCTCAACATCTGGGTGGGGACACCAGGGCCAAGGTGGGCACCCCCCGACATCTGGACTGGGGGACTTTGAAATCCGGGTGAGGTCTCCAACATCTGGATGGGGGCGCCCAACATCTGGGCGGGACCCCCACAGTGGGGACCCCAACATCTGGATGGGGACACCAAGGCCAGGGTGGGCTCCTTGGCATTTGGGATGACGGGGACCCCCAACATCTGGATTGGGGATGTCAAAACCCAGAGGAGGGCCCCAACATCTGGACTGGATGAGGGCCTTGCTCAGCGGGGGGAAGGGACACCCCCCCAAACATCTGGACAAAGCCCCCCCAACATCTGCATTGTGACAGGGCCCCCCTAAAACATCTGGTGGGCGGAGCCACCCCCAAAATCAATAAATTCGGGTGTCGCCAAAAAAGGGGGGGAGGGGCTTTTTTTGGGTGATAATTTGGGGGGGGGGGGGGGGGGGGGGGGGGGGGGGGGGGGGGGGGGTGGGGGTGGGGTGAGAATTGGGGTGGGGGGAGGGGCGCGGGGATTTTTGGGTGCCTCCCCTCCCCCACCCCGGGCCCGCTTTAAGCCTCTTAAGGGGCCCCGGCGGCCGCGGATTAACGGGGGGGGCAGGGGGGGGAGGGGAGGTGGGGGAGGGGCGAGGGGGACCCCGCGCTGCCCCTCCCCCACCCCTGCCCAGCTGTGCCCGCCCCGCCCCTCCCCCACTCCCAGTTTAACCAGTCCGACCGGCCGGACCGGGCTGGGGGGGGGGAGGGGAGGGGCAAACCCCGCCCGCCCCTCCCCCACCCCCGCGCGGTGGCACCTGCCGATGTCCCCAAATGCCACCGGCGGTGTCACCAAAGCCCTGCGGTGCCGCCGAGTCCCCTCCGTGTCCCCAGGTCCCCTTTGTGTCCCCTCCGTGTCCCTCTCATGTCCCCAGGTCCCCTCCAGGTCCTTTCCTGTGTCCCCTCCATGTCCCTCTCGTGTCCCTCTCATGTCCCCAAGTCCTCCCAATGTCCCCATCGTGTCCCCTCTGTGTCCCCAAGTCCCCTTTGTGTCACTCCCATGTCCCCAAGTCCCCCTCGTGTCCCTCTCGTGTCCCCAGGTCCCTTCCTGTGTCCCCTCCACGTCCCTCTCGTGTCCCTCTCATGTCCCCAGGACCCCCAGAGTGTCACTCCCATGTCCCCACGTCCCCCTCGTGTCCCTCTCGTGTCCCCAGGTCCCTTCCTGTGTCCCCTCCATGTCCCTCTCGTGTCCCTCTGTGTCCCCAAATCCCCTTTGTGTCCTCTCCGTGTCCCTCTCATGTCCCCAAGTCCCCTCCAGGTCCTTTTCGTGTCCCTCTCATGTCCGCCGGTCCCTTCCTGTGTCCCCTCTGTGTCCCTCAGCCCCCCTGGTGTCCCCTCCCTGTCCCCAGGTCACCTCCAGGTCCCTTCCTGTGTCCCCCCGATGTCCCCTTCATGTCCCTCTGTGTCCCCAAGTCCCCTCCAGGTCCCTTCCTGTGTCCCCTTTATGTCCCTCTGTGTCCCCAAGTGCCCCCAGTGTCCCTCTCGTGTCCCCACTTCCCCTCCATGTCCCCTCTCCTGTCACTTTTGTGTCCCCAAGTCCACCCCATGTCCCCTCCGTGTCCCTTTTGTGTGCCCAGCTCTCTTCTTGTGTCTCCTCCGTGTCCCCAAGTCCCCACCGTGTGTCACTCCCATGTCCCCAAGTCCCCTTTGTGTCCCCCTCATGTCCCTTTTGTGTCCCCAAGTCCCCTCCAGGTCCCCTCCTGTGTCCCCTCTGTGTCCCTCCCGTGTCCCCAGCTCCCTTCCTGTGTCCCCCCGATGTCCCCAAGTCCCCTTTGTGTCCCCTCTGTGTCCCCATGTCCCTCTCCGTGTCCCCATCACGTCCCTGTGATGCCACCATGTCCCTTTGATGTCCCCACCATGGCCCCGTGTCCCCTCCCTGTCCCCATCCCTGCCACTGCCATGTCCCTGTGTTCCCTCAGTGTCCCTTGTCCCCATTTCCATCCCTGTCCCCTCAGTGTCCCCATCCCTGTCCCTGCCATGTCCCTGTGTTCCCTCAGTGTCCCTTGTCCCCATTTCCGTCCCTGTTCCCTCAGTGTCCCTTGTCCCCATTTCCGTCCCTGTCCCCTCAGTGTCCCCATCCCTGTCCCTGCCATGTCCCCATGTCCCCCTCAGTGTCTCCTCAGTGTCCCTTGTCCCCATTTCCATCCCTGTCCCCTCAGTGTCCCCATCCCTGTCCCCTCCATGTCCCCATCCCTGTTCCTGCCATGTCCCTGTGTCCCCTCAGTGTCCCCATCCCTGTCCCCTCCATGTCCCTGTCCCCATCCATGTCCCTGCCATGTCCCCATTTCTGCCACTTCCCTGTCTCCTCAGTGTCCCCATCCCTGTCCCCTCCATGTCCCCGTGTCCCCCTCAGTGTCCCCTCCATGTCCCTGTGTCCCCATCCCTGTCCCCTCCATGTCCCCATTTCTGTCCCTGTCTCCTCAGTGTCCCCATCCCTGTCCCTGCCATGTCCCTGTGTCCCCTCAGTGTCCCCATCCCTGTCCCCTCCATGTCCCCATTTCTGTCCCTGTCCCCTCAGTGTCCCCATCCCTGTCCCTGCCATGTCCCTGTGTCCCTCTCAGTGTCCCCTCCATGTCCCTGTCCCCATCCCTGTCCCCTCCATGTCCCTGTGTCCCTCTCAGTGTCCCCTCCATGTCCCTGTCCCCATCCCTGTCCCTGCCATATCCCCATCCCTGTCCCTGCCATGTCCCCATCCCTGTCCCTGTCCCCTCCTTTGTCCCTGTCTCTGTCACTGCCATGTCCCTCTGTCCCCTCCCTTGTCTCCATCCCTGTCCCTGTCCCGTCCCTGTCCCCGCCGTGTCCCTGTCCATTGTCCCCATCCCTGTCCCCGCCGTGTCCCCCCCCGTGTCCCCGTGTCCCGTGTCTGTCCCCGCCGTTGCCATGGCCGCGGCGGAAAATAGGGCACGGGGAGGGGCCGGGGACACCGGACACGGGGACACGGACATGGGGACATGGGGACACCGGACACGGGGACACGGACATGGGGACACCGGACACGGGGACATGGACATGGGAATACCGGACGCGGGGACATGGGGACACCAGATACGGACACAGGAACATAGGGACACCGGACACAGGGACACGGACATGGGGACACCGGACACGGGGACACGGACATGGGGACACGGACACGGGGACACTGGACATGGGGACATGGGGACACTGGACACGGGGACACTGGACACGGGGACATGGGGACACCAGACACGGGGACATGGGAATACCGGACACGGGGACATGGGGACACCGGATACGGACACGGGAACATGGGAATACCGGACACGGGGACATGGGGACACCAGATACGGACACGGGAACATGGGGACACGGGGATACCAGACATGGACATGGGGACACTGGACACGGGGACATAGGGACACTGGACACGGGGACATGGACATGGGAACATGGGGACACAGGGACACTGGACATGGGGACATGGAGACACCAGACACAGACATGGACATGGGGACATGGGGACACCGGACACGGGGACACCGGACACAGACATGGGGACACCGTGCTCCCAGTCCCTTCCAGTCGCCCCAATATTCCAGTCACCTCAGTATTCCCAGTAGCCCCAGTCCCCCCAGTATCCCCGGTATTCCCAGTATCCCAGTCCCCCCGGTACCCCTGGTACCCCCAGCATCCCCATCAGCCCCGGTATTCCCGGTATCCCCAGTATCCCCATCATCCCCGGTATCCCCGGTATTCCCGGTATCCCCATCATCCCCGGTATTCCCGGTAATCCCATCATCCCTGGTATCCCCATAATCCCCGGTACCCCCGGTACCCCCAGTATCCCCATCATCCCCGGGTATCCCCGGTATCCCCGGTATCCCCGGTAATCCCATCATCCCCGGTATCCCCATCATCCCCGGTACCCCCATCATCCCCGGTACCCCCGGTACCCTCGGTATCCCCATCATCCCCAGTATTCCCAGTATCCCAGTCCCCCCGGTACCCCCATCATCCCCATCATCCCCGGTATCCCCGGTATCCCCATCATCCCCGGTATCCCCGGTAATCCCATTATTCCCGGTATTCCCGGTCCCTCTCCCAGCCCCGCCCCTTTCCCCGCGCGCCGGAGAAGGGGGCGTGTCCCGCTCTCCCATCACGTGACCGCAGGTGCGCCCCGCCCCCCCCCCCCCCCCACCTTCCCCTCCCCGCACCTGGCGCGCGCGCCGCGCCCGCCCGAACCCGCCCGGAACCGCCCGAACCCACCCGAACCCCGCACGAAGCCTTTCCGAACCCCTCACGAAGCCTTTCCGAACCTACACGAGGCGGCCGAACCCACCCGAAACCGCCGAACCCACCCGAAGCTTCTCTGAGGCGGCCGAGCCCACCCGAAACCGCCGAACCCACCCGAAGCTTCCCTGAGGCGGCCGAACCCACCCGAAGCGTTTCCGAGCCTCTCCGAGCCCACCCGAAGCGGCCGAACCCACCCGAAGCCTTTCCGAGCCCACCCGAGACCGCCGAACCCACCCGAAGCTTCTCTGAGGCGGCCGAACCCACCCGAAGCCTCTCCGAGCCCACCCGAAACCGCCGAACCCACCCGAAGCGTTTCCGAGCCTTTCCGAGCCCACCCGAGGCAGCCGAACCCGCCCGAAGCGGCCGAACCCACCCGAAGCGGCCGAACCCACCCGAAGCCTCGCCGAGCCTCTCCGAGCCCCCCCCGAAGCCGCAGCCGAACCCGCCCGAAGCCTCGCCGAGCCCCCCCGAAGCCTCGCCGAGCCCCCCCGAAGCCTCGCCGAGCCCCCCCGAAGCCTCGCCGAGCGCGGCCGAAGCGGGCGCCGGTGGCCCCGGCGGCCCCGGCGGCGGCCCCGGGATGGTGGCGGCTCCCCCGGCCGCCGCCGCCGCCATGCGCCGGGGGTTCCTGGTGCCCGAGATCCGCCCGCTGGACCAGTACGACGGGGCTCGGGCTCGCAGCGCCGCCAGCCTGGCCTGGGCCATCGCCACCGGCTACGGCGGCGCCGGTAGGAGCGGGCGGGGACGGCGGCGGCGGCAGAACGGGCGGGGGGACACGGGGATGGCGGGGAGGGGGATGGAGGGGGCGTTCTGCAGGGGGACGGGCGGGTATCGGTAGGGCGGAGGGGGTCCGGTGGTACCGGAGGGGCCCCGGTGGTACCGAGGGGTCTCGGTACCGAATGAGGGGAGCTGGTGCCGAGTCCGGTACTGGGGAGGGGTCCCGGTACCGAATGCAGGGGTCTGGTGCCGAGTCCGGTACTGGGGAGGGGTCCCGGTAACGAATGCAGGGGTCTGGTGCCGAGTCCGGTACTGGGGAGGGGTCCCGGTGGTACCGGGGAGGAGCCGGTACCGAGAGGAGTTCCGGTATTGGGGAGGGGTCTCGGTAGTACCGGAGGGGTCCCGGTACCGAATGAGGGGAGCTGGTGCCGAGTCCGGTACTGAGGAGGGCTCCCGGTACTGGGGAAAGGGTCCCGGTGGTACCGGAGGGGTCTCGGTACCGAATGGGGGCTCTGGTATTGAGTCTGGGAGTGGGGAGGGGTCTCGGTAGTACCGGAGGGGTCTCGGTACCGAATGGAGGGTCCGGTACCGAATGTGGGGAGCTGGTGCCGAGTCCGGTCCTGGGGAAAGGGTCCCGGTGGTACCGGAGGGGTCCCGGTACCGAATGGGGGGTCCCGGTACTGGGGAGGGGTCCCGGTGGTACCGGGGAGGTCCCGGTGGTACCGGGGGTGTCCCGGTACCGAATGGGGGGTCCCGGTACTGGGGAGGGGTCCCCGGTGGTACCGGAGGGGTCCCGGTACCGAATGGGGGGTCCCGGTACTGTCGGGGGCTCCCGGTGGTACCGGAGGGGTCTCGGTACCGAATGGGGGGTCCCGGTACCGGGGGGGTTCCCCAATCCCGGGGTTCCCCCCCCCCCCCGGGCGCTTTTGTTGCAGTTTGGGGGAGGTGGTCGTGACGTCACGCCGTGACGTCACAGGGCGGGACCCCCCCTCGTGCCCCGCCCCCTGCGGAGCTGGGGGGGAGGGGTCGCCCACCCCCCCCAGGTGAATTTTGGGGACCCCCCAGGTAAATTTTGGGTATTTTTGGGATCCCCCCCCAAGTATTTCAGGGACATCCCCAGGTTTTTTTGGGACCCCCCAGGTGAATTTTGGGTATTTTGGGGTCCCCCCAGGTGAATTTTGGGTATTTTGGGAGCCCCCAGGTGAATTTTGGGTATTTTGGACCCCCCCCAGGTGAATTTTGGGTATTTTGGGACCCCCCAGGTGAATTTTGGGACCCCCCAGGTGAATTTTGGGGCCCCCCCAGGTGAATTTCGGGTATTTTGGGACCCCCCCAGGTGAATTTTGGGTATTTTGGGTCCCCCCAGGTGAATTTTGGGTATTTTTGGGGCCCCCCAGGTGAATTTTGGGACTCCCCCAGGTGCCCCTCCCCTCCCACTCCCTCCCAGGGGTCAAAGGTCAAAGTCCCCCCCGCCCCCCCCCGGGGCCCTTTGGCCGGGGGGAGGGGCAGGGGTGGGGCCGGGTGGGGGAGGGGAGGGAGCAGGGGAGGCTCCCTTGGGTGCTGAGGGACAGGGGAGGGTCCCATGGGTGCTGAGGGACAGGGGAGGGTCCCTTGGGTGCCCTGGACAGGGGAGGCTCCCATGGGTGCTGTGGACAGGTGAGGGTCCCATGGGTGCTGAGGGACAGGAGAGGGTCCCATGGGTGCTGAGGGACAGGTGAGGGTCCCATGGGTGCTGTGGACAGGAGAGGGTCCCATGGGTGCTGAGGGACAGGTGAGGGTCCCATGGGTGCTGAGGGACAGGTGAGGGTCCCATGGGTGCTGTGGACAGGTGGGTGTCTTATGGGTGCCATGGACAGGTGAGGGTCCCATGGGTGCTGTGGACAGGTGGGTGTCTTATGGGTGCCCTGGAAAGGTGAGGCTCCCTTGGGTGCTGAGGGACAGGTGAGGGTCCCATGGGTGCTGAGGGACAGGGGAGGCTCCCTTGGGTGCTGAGGGACAGGTGAGGGTCCCATGGGTGCTGAGGGACAGGTGAGGGTCCTGTGGGTGCTGAGGGACAGGTGAGGGTCCCATGGGTGCTGTGGGACAGGTGAGGGTCCCTTGGGTGCTGAGGGACAGGAGAGGGTCCCATGGGTGCTGAGGGACAGGAGAGGGTCCCATGGGTGCTGAGGGACAGGTGAGGGTCCCTTGGGTGCCCTGGACAGGAGAGGGTCCCATGGGTGCTGTGGACAGGAGAGGGTCCCATGGGTGCTGAGGGACAGGTGAGGGTCCCATGGGTGTCCCAGGTGTCCCATGGGTGTCCCATGGGTGTCCCGGGGGGGGGCGTGACCCCCAGGGGGTGCCAGGGCCCCTCCCCCACCCCCTGTGGGTGTGGCCCTGCCCCTCCCCCACCCCGGGATGTGCCCCTCCCCCACCCCGTGCCGGGTTCCTGGGGGGTCCTCGAGGTCCTTTTTGGGGTCCCCAAGGTCCTTTTTGGGGTTTCCATGGCCAATTTTGGGGTCTCCATGGCCAATTTTGGGGTCTCAACTCATTTGGGGATCTTCAGGGTCCATTTTGGGGTCTCCTGGAGCAATTTTGGTGTCTCAGCCACTTTTGGGGTCTCCATGGCCAATTTTGGGGTCTCCAGGGTTGATTTTGGGGTCTCCATGGTCTTTGGGTGGTCTCCATGGTCAGTTTTTGGGTCTCCAGGGTCAGTTTTGGGGTCTCCAAGAGGAATTTTGGGGTCTCCATGCTAGTTTTGGCATCTCCATGGCCAATTTTGGGGTCTCCAGGGTCAGTTTTGGGGTCTCCAGGGTCGGTTATGAGGGTCCCGTGACCACCGAGGTCCCGTGTGGTCCTTGGGGGTCTCCATGGTCATTGCTGGGATCTTCTGGGGTTCCTGGTGGGACCGTGGTGGGTCAGTGTCCATCTGTCCATGGCCAGTGTCCGTCTGTCCATCTGTCCATGGCCAGTGTCCGTCTGTCCATGGCCAGTGTCCATCTGTCCATGGCCAGTGTCTGTCTGGCCTTGGTGGGTCAGTGTCCATCTGTCCATGGCCAGTGTCCATCTGTCCATGGTGGGTCAGTGTCCATCTGACCATGGTGGGTCCGTCTGTCCATCTGTCCATGGTCAGTGTCCGTCTGTCCATGGTGGGTCAGTGTCCATCTGTCCATGGTCAGTGTCCGTCTGTCCATGGTGGGTCAGTGTCCATCTGTCCATGGTCAGTGTCCGTCTGTCCATGGGTCAGTGTCCGTCTGTCCATGGTGGGNGGTGGGTCAGTGTCCATCTGTCCATGGTCAGTGTCCGTCTGTCCATGGGTCAGTGTCCGTCTGTCCATGGTGGGTCAGTGTCCATCTGTCCATGGCCAGTGTCCATCTGTCCATGGTCAGTGTCCGTCTGTCCATGGTGGGTCAGTGTCCATCTGTCCATGGTCAGTGTCCATCTGTCCATGGTGGGTCTGTGTCCATCTGTCCATGGGTCAGTGTCCATCTGTCCATGGTCAGTGTCCGTCTGTCCATGGGTCAGTGTCCATCTGTCCATGGTGGGTCAGTGTCCATCTGTCCATGGTGGGTCAGTGTCCATCTGTCCAAGGCCAGTGTCCATCTGTCCATGGTGGGTCAGTGTCCGTCTGTCCATGGTGGGTCAGTGTCCATCTGTCCATGGTCAGTGTCCATCTGTCCATCTGTCCATGNTCCATCTGTCCATGGTCAGTGTCCATCTGTCCATCTGTCCATGGTGGGTCAGTGTCCGTCTGTCCATGGTGGGTCAGTGTCCATCTGTCCATGGTGGGTCCTTGGTGGCTCCGCGCTGTGTTAACCAATTTTAACCCTTTATTCCCCATTTTTAACCCTTTCTTTCCCATTTTAACCCATTTTCCACCCCAATCTCCCCATTTCCCCCCCAAATTCCCCATTTTAACCCATTTTAACCCTTTATTCCCCATTTTTAACCCATTTCACCCCAAATCCCCCCTTTTCCCCCCAGCCAACGTCCCCGAGGAGCTGCGGGACCCCTTCTACACCGACCCCCCTTTAACCCTTTATTCCCCATTTTAA